ACTAGCTTTAACTGAAACTACTTCTCCTGGCTTATGAAAAATTATAATCTCTTCCATCTTTGTTTATCTTGAGATTGAAACATATTAAATGAACTTTTCTACTGACAATTCGGCTAGTGGCATGCGTCGATATCGCTACTTCTGCGAATAATATTTGACCAAATGTCTTATATCTTATGAAAGTATTGCTTTGAGATTTTATCTAATCAAGGACAGTCTTTAATAAGGCCGTGTTTCGTTGTGTTTATTTCTATAATGATTCAAAAATAGTTGCAATTTTCTTTCGACATGTATTGATCTACATTACGTATTAAAAAATTCCAATCAGAAAAAAATTTTTGAAATGTTTATGTTTTAATCTTAATCAAAGAATTTGTGTTTAGAAATTACTTTTTCTTTTACTTATACTTCAAGTTAAGTAAAAAACTACAATTATGCCTAGACTTTTATTCTAAACTAAATTATTTATTTATAAGCAAATTTGTAAACAGAGAGACTTTATATTAGTAATGTCACTTTTTTATTTATTATTAATAGACAATAGTTTATATCAATGAAATAGCGTCAACTTTACGATATTTCTCCTCTGGCTGTTTTCGAAATTTGACAGGTTTATTTCATTACGTAATTTTTACGCCATTAAAATGTGACTAAATATCGAATTTTTAATCGTATTTTCAGAACTACATCAAATTTATTACCCGCCTTATCAAAAGTAATGATTAAATGTAATTAAAACAGAAAAATTATACCTATATCTCCACCTTTGTTTATATATTATTTATTAGGAAATTTTGAAACAATAAATGAACTTTTCAATAGACAATGGTTTATAATAACAAAGCAGCGACGCCACAATTTCACTATATTTTTCTCGGCTTTTTTTTTCTTTTTTTTTTTTTTTTTTTTTTCAAAATTTGTCGAGAGTGGTGTTTCGCTGTATCGCGGTTTGTGCCAATAAAAATGTGTCCGGATGTTCTTGGACTGGATATTGACATTAGTCCATGAAAAATGCGCGTACAAACAGAGATCGGAGCATTACAGCGGACGGGCGGGCGGGCAGGCGGCGGAACGTACACGGGGCCCGCTTATCAGTATTTTTGTGTCACCGCTCGCAAAAGCGGATGCTCGCTGGAGAGGTAGAGGGGTGCGTGATAGAGAGAGCGGGAGATGCGAAAATATACATTGACAAATACGAGCCCGCTTCAGTGTGAAGTTGCGGAGAGATTCTACGTATTTTTCGACCGGCTCCGGGTCTTTGCAGGTCCGGCCCGCGCGGAATTTCGCGTTGGTTCCTTTAGTGAAAGAGAGCATCCCGGGTGGCAGACAGGAACTGAACACTCGTCAGCACCTTTGGGTTGCTAATGTGCCTGAGGGGAATCAAGTTGTTTGTGATTAGGCCAGAGTTGCGGGGAAAATTTGGATTCTCAAGGAGAGAGTACGTGGAAGTGTCACGGATTGAAAATTGTCCACTGAAACGTTAGAAAGTGTAAAAAGACACTCACTCATTCATTTCTAGATCTTTGACTGATTTTAACAATGATAAATATTTTAAAGCATTATTCCATTATTTTATTATTTGTGCGCACGTAATTTGAGAATGTTTTATTGGATTTTATGTATTTCAGAGAGCAAGGATGGCGGGAGACACAAAAATATACAATGAAAAATACCCGCCTATGTCAGAGTGAAGTTGGGGAGAGATTTTGTACATTTTGTGAACGCTTCAAATCCTCCTTGGCAAGTCCTCAGTAAATTGAAGAGCTTACTATTGCCCAAAGCAATCTGTCGCCATTTACGTTTGTTATATAATTTGTACGTATCAATATATTCTTAAGACACTTCACCATGCTGCCAAATGTGTTCACAAATGATGTTTCTCCTGTGTTAATCGGAAACCGTTGAATCCTCTATTGAACAATAAGGCTGAATATGATTACTTTCCCTAGCTGATATATTGTATTTATTCGATGTACCTTATTTTGGAAATATGCTCTTTAACTGTGATGGCAAATTTAGTGTAACAAAGCATCGCAGTTGACAAAGTGTGAGTGAATGGACCACGCTAGCATCTCTCTGTTTCTAATGTGCTCTCATAGATTGTGTCTTGATCAGAAATATCGGGATAAAATTGCACGATAAGTTAATGTAGTACGAATTTCAAATTATACTCGTGAACGATACAAAGCGCAAAAGTTACACGTAAAAAAATTAATTTTAGGAACTATCAAAAATTTTTGAATTATATTTTGTAAAATGACAGATGATTTATTGAGATTTTAATTGTTTTTATGTGTGTAAATAAATGGATTAATTTATTTTAGGTTCTACGTGATGTGTCTACGATTGAATTTCCACATGAATCTTTTAACATAATGATATTATTTTGGTACAATAATATTTAAAAAGTTATTCTCTACTGTAACTAGTTGAACAGAAAAGGTAATGAACTCAATTCATTTCAATCTCCAAACACAAGATATTAATTTCGCTGATAAAATACGCAACCATATGTAGAACCTTTACCATAACGAAAAAGAGGATTGAGCCGTAAAACTGACGAGTCTTTGACACTTTGACTTAACACACACAGAAAAGTATTTCTGCTCCTATATTAACATTCTTAGAATTTTAAAGAGCACTGAATAATAAAGATACTAAAAATGTAATGCAAAAACTACGTCAATTTCAATTGAAAATTAAAAATATTGAAATGTATGACATTCAAAAATGTTCCTCCTTTAAGTGTATGTACAACAACTCATATTTTTATGGAATAGTATCATTAGTAAATATTAAAATAAATAGCATTAAAAATTAAATTTGGGCCTTTAATTATGGAGGTGAAAGATAAGTGTAAACGTTTTCAATTTTCAAAGTTTCAGAGGTTTGAATGAGAATCGGAACTATACTATATTTATTAATGCACTTTTCTCTATTCGATAAAATAAATTTAAAGTAAAAATTGGCAGCCATTGTCGAGAAAATTTTCTTAATGTCACAAGGGCTTTGTGTAAAGTCCCCCCTCCCTCCGAAAAAATTAAAATATCTTAACGATCTCTGAAACAGCCCAGCTAGATCTTACTTCTGACATATTTACCAAATTGAAGTTCAAAACCTTCTCATCTGACAGAGTTAATTGTAACAAGTACTCCCACTCACTCACCCACTCATCCATCCATCCATCCATCCATTTACAGAGATATCTCAATTTTGGGGTACAAAATTCTAAAAATCTTGTTGCTTCCTGCACCAATTTTAACCATTTATGTATCAGCACTAATATATTTAATACTAACATGTGTGCGAAGTAACAGCTTGAAAAACCGTAAACACGCATTTACGACCAAAAATTGGAGATCGTGTAGCAAAACTGATTCCAATACTTTTTCACCCTATTCTATAGTATAACGAGAAAAAAAATAAAGAAAAGGTATTGATATGCCACTTTTTAATGCGATTTTTGTAGGAGAATTCACGTTATGTTTATTCGCTATAGGCAGTTTGAAAAAAATCAAAATTATTCCAGAAGTTGTCCATAAATGTTTTGATCACCGCAAACTTTTTTTATAACCATTTGTCTATGTAGAGAATTGAGAGTATATAGACGCCAAGGACACGAGATGACAAGTTTTAAATTTTGAATAAGGGTTGATAGATGTTATAAAAACATTATTGTAGAGTTCTATCACCTGCTTAATGAAGTGCTTTTTTTTACTTCAGAAAAGTACCATTTTCGGTAAATACTTGTCAACGCTTAAAATGCATGATTTTTTAATTCGAGTATATGTCAGGATGAAAGTATTGTTTTCGATTGTCATCCATAAAATAAAATGTTCTACCATTTCAAACAGCCGCATGCCACTCGCAATATAAAGTATTTTTTATATTCAAACAAATTGACATATATTTTTGGCTTATAACGAAGTATTTTTTTCATATATTCAGACTTGGGAAATGATAAGTTTAATGGAATTGCCTTTGGGAAATTTACTTGAGACCAAATATTTCTTTGACGTGTATGAACTGACTTCGCAGAAGTCTTTTTACGTATATAGTAGTCACTAAGCCCCAAAAATTTATTTTCAAGAATCCAAAGTTTACTGTTATTTGCAATTTGGATATCTGAAGCATTTAAATTTTGTCATGTGTACTCATCATAGAAATAATTCTGAAACTTGCGTCGATGGTTTATGAAAAAACTAAGCGAATACTATTTTATTTGGCCAGATTTGAGAAATGTTTAATGTTTTTAAGAATACAATTATTTTTTGTTAACTGTGATTTCTAAAACCGTATTAAACAAATATTTGTAAAATGTCATCAAAGATTTTAAATTTACAAAAATGTTAGGTCATTTAAAAAGAAGCTATAATTACGGGTAATGAACAAAAAAGTGTGTACATCAATATTTTGCGAGGAAATACTTTTTAACGCAATTACTGAAATATTAAGCCAGACAACGTGAAAAAAATTCCAGTTGGTATATTCATGCGTGTTTGGTTTTTTTACAGTATTTTGTAGGCTTGGACTGAGAAATCCGCAAGACATATGACAGCAAAGATTAAAAATATATGAAGATATTTGTCGTTACGTAGTATTTTTTCTCAAATTAAAAGTGGACTTGCAAATAAGCTCATGTGAAGTGTTCCCGTAATAAAATTATCTGAGTTATTAAGTACTAAAAAATACAGCGTAATTTCTCAAATTCAAAATCAGTTTCTCAAATCTTCATCATGACTGCTTAACAGTTGTCACACATTATGTAAGTCAAATTAATAGAGCTATGAAACAGAACACACACCAATATCATTTGATCATGTTGAAGAAGATCTCTTTTTGGACAACGCAATCACAAACTGAAATTGGGTCCCAAACCTGAGAATTAAGGCACGAAATAAACCAAACCGCGCGAGTACCTTGACGGCAAACCTAGAAGTCGAAGAAAACACCACTACCGAGAACTGTCACACGCTCAGTCACCACAAGCCACCACTCACCTCTGCCGCTGCGGCCGACGAAGCGCAGGTCGTTGAACTTGGCCACCTGGTTCTTTCAGACGGCGGTGTCGTTCCTCCAACTCGGCGCAAAAGTTCCTCGTCGTTTCCCGCGAGCGGCAGTCACCAAGTGCCGTCGAGCACGTCGCCAGGGCCACACCTTGAAGGCGAACGGGCACGTCTTGTTTGAGCGCCCAGTGCTGGTGGCTGGAACGAGTGCAGACGATGTGCGGGCTGCCGGTGCAGCACCAGCTCGGCCCGGGTGTCCGCAAGCAGGCAGTCAGGGGCGCTCGCCAGGACGTCGCAGTAGCGGTGAGGCGCATTGTAGTCCCGACGAGCCGCGCCGCGGACGCGCCTCCGCCCGTCGCCGCCGCGCCCGCCGGCGCCGCCAGTCCAGCCGGCCATCCGTCGTCGCGACATATCAGACGGACACGATGCATGGCGTCACATGGTCGCCCCTCCCTCGCGGCGCGCTCCGCACCCCGGCACACACTCACGCACACGTGCACGCACTTCAACCAGTCCGCGCACACCCGCGCCCGCACCGGGCCGACCTTGGCGGGCGCTCGCACCGCTCACGGCACACACAACGCGATCGCGGAGCACCGCCTCCGGTTATTTCCTGCGGCGGCGTTTTTTCGCGTTCGGGCCCGCATCGCCGCCGCCGCCGACCGACCGCGGGCCGCTCCCCGCCCCCATTCCTCCTCCTCCACCGCGCCGCGCGCCGCACCGCTCTGCTGTGCGGTGTCCCCCAGCGACTTTTCCCGAGATTCCGCCCCACCGACATTCGCAAATATACGGGGCGCGGGGGGGAGGACGCGTGGGCGGAAGGGCGACGCGCCGCGCCGCGCGCCGGGAAGAGGGAGAGAAAGAGAGCCGCTGAAGAGGGAGGAAGCGGCGGAGAGGGTAGCGCTGGGAGACCGCGAAGCCCACGGCGGCGGCGCCGCCACGCGGCGTGCGGGCGGCGCGGCTGGTGCGAGGACGTCACGTACGTCCCGCATCCCACGTCTCGTCGGTATCTCCGCCGCCGCCCCTCCCAGCCACGCGTCTCGGCTCGCGCAGGTGACGGCCCGCTCTCTGGGAGGTGAGCGCCGCGACGCCGCGAGGCAAGCCCGTGTGTGAAAGAGCGCCGCGGACCAGCCTCCCGACCGCCGGACTCACACACACAACACACACACACCGCGCGCGCGGCGCGCTCCCCCTCTCCTGCGCTGATCGGAAGAGGAAAAGTCCCGCGCGCTCGTGCGCCACCGCGCTTGCCGCCGCCAGCCGCCAGCGCCCGCTGGCAATCGCCCGCGCACCTCCGCCCGTCAAAGACCCCCCGACACGGCTCACCACGCGGCACCCGGGCTCTTGCGCGCGCTGGCGGCGCCACCTCCGTCGCCGCCCTTCGCCGCTCGCACCGGGATGACTCGGGGCGACAACCGCTGCTTCCACTGGGAGATCCCACAGTACGAGTTTGTCTCGGGTTTTCGACACCAGCTAGAGAAAGGTTCGCCGAAGTCGCTCAGGGTAGCAATCTTCCTAGAGTACGTGTACTTCTTATAGTCCTAGAGTACGAGTGTCTGCGTATTTTCGACGCTGACTAGATAGGAGCAGGCTTCGAGCGGCCGGTTGTTCTGATCGGTGTACTTCAATGAAAGCATTATGTCCGTTGTCACTTGATCAGTTGTGACGCTCGGAAGCTTGAATGTCATCACTTGAGTGTAGTGATGATCAAGTTCCTTATTGGATGACAGCATCACAGCTGATCAAGTGCAAACGTATTTAATGCTTAAATCAAAGAATAGTTTTACCTGGCGGTTTACCATGATCAATTCCAGGTGAATGTCGGAGCAGTGCCATAAGCGGACGACAGACAGCGCGCGAGACATTAGAGCTTGTCCCTGCTGGGGAGGTGCCCTGTTGAGAGAGATACCCAGAGAAGGAAAATCTTGCCAACCTGCGGGAACCTCGACGACTCTTTCACTTTCCAACTGGAAAAAAAAACGCCACCCCCGGGAGGAAAAGCATGCACTATACATAAGGGACTAATGACCATAGTAGCTGACGCGCGCGGAAACAAATCTATCAACTGCCCTACACGGCTGGCCAGCTGCCCCGTCACAATGGCTCACAGTGCAACCCCTTTTTCACCTGCTGTCGTCAACCCAGAACCTCTTCGGAACCCCGCCACCCAGCAACGCCCGGCTCGAGGCAGTCACGAAAGACTCGCTGAGTACTCGGCTCTGCACGCGATGCATCTTCTCCAACTCGTGACCTGAACAACAACCCTGCAGGTAAAACTGTCCCGACTTAACTTGTTAGCCTCGCGTTGGTCGAATCACGATGGCGCTCACTGACACGGTTTTCACCCGTCCGGGGTTGTGTGAATCGTGTTTAACCGTATCTCGAAGGCGACTGGAGATGCCCATTTGTATCCGTTCGGTTGTCGAATCCGTTCGGCCTAGTGCCTATCCAAAAAGCATTCAGCTACACAGAATTCACAAATGTACCCTGAACAGGTTGGCACCCCCGATACGTTCAGGAAACCCCAACACCTAACCTGGGTAAAATCAAAATCCATCGCCTTCCGTTCGTGGCAGTTTTACCCTCGGAGTCGCGGCCGCAGCCGCTGATGAGTGCGTGGACGGGTAAAACGATACGGGTAAAAATGCCACGTACCTGTTCGGGCTCGCGGAGCGCCGGCGCGCCGTGGCTCGCCCGGGGCCCCCGGCTTCTTTCACGGCGCCGTCGTCGCCGGCTGCGAGCAGACTAAAAAGCAGAGCGCGTGGAACGGAGGAGGAGGAGGAGGAGAAGAAAGAGAGCGGAGAGGGAGGGGGCGAGGTCCCCCCTCTGCGACTCTTAAGACGCGCGCCGCCCTCGCTCCCCGGGTCGGGAGGCGCGCCCGCGCGGCTGTCATCGCCGAGGGGGGCCGGCATCTGCCGGCGGGCGACGCCTGGCTATTCGCTGCTGCTTGTGGAATGAGTACTGTTATGAGTACATTACGCTACTAGGAGATGACGAGCGAATCATTCGTGCGAAGTTCTACACTGAGTAATAGCGTATTTAATATGTTTTAGTGCGCCAACTAGGAAAGTTTGTCCCGTAAATGTAGTGCGTGTTCTATCGCAGTTATGGACAGCACCGCTCTTACCAGGACGAGATATTCGACGTCGACCTATTCGCCGGCCTGCGGAAATTTACCCCTTTTTATATCTCCCCCACCCGGAACAAGCTTTAAGCACGGAATTCCATGTATTTCTAATCTTGTGAAGTGTACTTGAATATGTATTTTAGGTCGGAGAATTTATAACTTATTAAAATCGCATGAATAAACTATCCTTAGATTTCAAACGCCACAATTATCGTATGAATCCATTCAGTGACTATCTAAACATCCGATGTTATTACCTGCCCTGTTCACCTCCGGTATTTCAGTTGTCATGACTTTTGCTGTCGCGTTACAGATTTATTGGTGACACTGCCAGAGACCAGTTCCTTATTCCACGATCACAATTGTGACCGGTGTTATCGGTTTGACAGTTTCTTCCCCTCTTGTCATCATCAGTATTGTCACGTAACCATCATGCAGCCTCCGTCTACGATATTTTCCACATCAGCACCCCGACAGACTGCTTTCTATCTCACCGCCGCCGCTGATAGCTCGGCACCCACTTCAACCCAACACGCGGCCCCGCTATCAATCACCAGCCTTCCTGTTTGCGTAGCTCTCGCGTCTACGTCGCGCTCCGCCCCCTGTCTCCAGCTCCTTAACGTTCCTTCCACTTTTTTCCTCCACCCCCGCTCCCCTCGACTGACTCACCGCCATCTCCCGCTCATTTTTTATGTCTCCTTCCTCTCACCATCCCCAGCTCCCG